CTTAGATGAGGTCCGTTGTTTCCTTTTCTAGAATTTAAACCATTAAAAGGAAACTTTCTATTCATGAATATGGTAAAAAATCGAACAATATTTATGAAAACTCACTGTATCCAATTGAATCTCACAGTGGATAGCCACAACTGATTCTTGTGAAACTTAAGAAACGAGGTTCTTTCCATTTAAAAGCTTATTTTTAAGAATGGAACCTCATGCTTGTTTAATTCTCCATTGTTTAGTACCAAAAAATAGATCCACCTCTGTGAAAGGCCCTAAAAGCCAATTTTGAAGAATGAGCTCCCTATACTTGCTAAGGTCTACATCAATATCTCATTGTATCATGGGCCAAAATGGACTATCCAGTCTCCACCTTCCTTCTATATTGCTTCTTCACGAAACATAAAAATATCAATCATATCATTTCGTTAAAAAGCAGGATACTTGGTACCGTGGTTAAGAATAGAAAATATTATATTATGAACAAAAAGTGGTTCATAACTTTTCTGCAAAAATTTACAGGTTCGCAAATTATTCACATCAATAAGATAAAATACTTATGCATACATCTTTATGCTGAAAATCTTCCTTTCACCAATTTTCCTCCCCTCAACTTGCAACACCTTCAATTTTTGAGTCCTCACTCAGTCAGCAATTCATCATACTAAATAAAGAAAACAAATCTGAACTACACAGGCAAGGTCCTAAAATTGTTTATATAAAAGTACAATTCCTTCAATAAGTTCAAAACTGGCCTGAAACATGAGAGGAAAACAAAACCCAAAAAAACATCGGGGCCACAAGCAAAGGGCTACCATCAAGAAGCTTCGGCCTGACTCATGGGTCATATATCAACATTTTATTGTTGGCTGTTTTTTCCTTTGATAAAATTTTACTGGATATGAAATCTTTTCTTGTATTGAGGTGCCTGTTAGAGCCAAATGTTAGTAAGAGTCCAGCTCCTTCATGGAGCTGCATCTATATTTGACACTTGTCACAGAACTTGTGAGACCTCAAAGGATAAAATACAGCAAATAATGCGAAACCTACACCTAGCTCAGGCCGCTGGGTAGGTTGATTTAGACAGAAGTTCAAGGCTTATTTCGAGAGAGTATCACTTTAAAACATTGAGCACATTTTAAGGGTAAATGACTTATTTGCACATTTCATATTTATATTTGTCTGTGTCTGCATATATCCACACATACACCAACACCAGTCACTCCTTTCTTTTCTTTTTTTATATACCATGAATTTTTACACGTGCTCATATTCATTCTCCATAGTTGGCATAAGTATTCCAGCTAAAACGCTGCATCAAACGCAGGAATAAACACTGCCGTAGAATCACTACCGGCATGTAACGCTCCTCTATCATAGGTATATAATTTTGTAACCAATGCCGCACAAAGCCTAATTCTTTTAAGATATCAAGACGGTTATTTATCAGTCATTAGCAGTAAGAAGACAAGTTTTAATATAAAAACACGGAACTTTGAAAAATATTAATAGCCACTACTCCTGGAGTTTACAAAGAGTAGAACTAATCCATAATTCACCCAAAAAAAACTAAGTTAAATCACGACCAATCACATACAACCCTCCTGTCAAAATCAAGTAGCTAATAACCAGTACAATAACACAGGACGAGATAGGAATATGCGCGAATGGATGTCATGATCAACCGGGAAGAAGGGGCGGGAAGGGAGGGAAAAAAACCTTGAGGATGCCGGAGTTCTAGGACCACATGCTACCGCCGGGACATACGGTGTCGACGGTCACGGCAACAGAGAGAGTGGGGAAACAAGAGATTGATAGTTTAGGAACCGCCCAAGATTTTGGCGTGGTTGAAGATCCTCTAGCGTCAATACCCTGAAGTCTGAAGTCTGAACTGAAACCAATAAAGGGTTTGACAACTGAAAAGTAAACTGAAAATAATTGTTTAACAGGTCGAGAAATTTATAAAATTAACAAAATAAAAAATGACTATATTATACTTATACATAACCACCCTCATTCACAGTTCGCGCAAATTGCAAGTTGCCACCACCCTCATACACGGTTCGTGCAGACTGCAAAGTTGCCACCATCATGAAATCATAATATTCGCAATAAAAAGCGAGACAATTTTTTTTTAAAAAAAAATTTGACCTAATGCATGAATGAACATGTAATATTATAAATGGGACTAAACATGCGACATTCCAAGTTATTGGTCTATTTCTTGAATACTACCTCCAATCCTAATTATAATTGTAAGGTTTCGTTTATAGACTGTAAACTAGGTTTTATAATCAGGACTAGAGGTAGTATTATGTAAACATAATAAAATTAACAAGGGAAAGGATTAATATTCGTACAAATGAAGTGGTTCGTAAGGGTCAAATTCAAAGCTGAAATGAAAATAACAACTGATCATTCTAGCCATAGCAAATGTGCCTATGGTAGTCAATAGTCAAGGTGAAATGAAATATAGAGGACTCAAAAAGAAAAACTGAGATAGATGATGACATTAACAAAGAAAGAAAGAAACAAAAAAAGAGAGGGGGTATTAGGGATTGTTTGGAATGAATCAAGTCCAGAAATGTGGCATGTTTTTCCGCATTTTCCTTGAACTTCTATATGCCCAAAAATGTGTGTGTGTGTGAGAGAGAGAGAGTGAGAGGGTTTAAGCATAAGAAGTTCAAGAAAGCTGTGGAAAAGCAGGACAGGACTTGGGAGCTGTTTCTGTTTGAAATGCTTAGTGAATACAGCAAAATAGAACTGCATATATACACGTAGCTAGAAGCAAACTGGAGAGGCAGGGGCAGGGGCAGGGGCCTTTAGGTAATTAAGCAATCAAAGATCTTCAGGTGTATACATACTTGCCTATTCCCTGACCCCACCCACACAACTTAAGTAAAATTTTTAAGATTTTTATTAATGTATGATAAAAAGGGGAAATTGTTGAAAGTTTTCCCATTTATAGCCCAAAGCTACTTTAAATTTATCCAAAAACTCACGTCGTTTGAATAAGTGCAACTCTCTTTTAGCGGATGTAATTCTTTTTCAGTTGTATGTAATATAATATATTTTCAATTATGCACAAATGTCTTTTATTTTGAAGATTTTTGCACATAATTACATATAGCTAAAAGAAGATTTGTATCCATTAGAAATAGGTTACACATCCTACTTTTAGAGGCAAAATTTCTTTTGCGCATTTTTACATATAGCTAAAAAAGATTTGTATCGATAAGTTATACGTCTTTTTTTTCATAGACAAAATAGAAAACCATTTGCACATAGTTGAAGATTTGTTCCACACACATGTAAAGAAGAGTTACACCTACTAAAGTGGTATGTCCTTAAATTTCAAATACATTTGAGAAATAAAAATTCCAGCGAGATTTGTCAATAATTTTTCCTAATAAAAATTCCCATATCTTAACATAATTTAAAAAAAAAAATGAGGAGTACAAAAGCTTATGATAAATCCTTACTAAATGACTTCAGCTATTTTGATATCATTCGATAGCTCTAAGTACAATCACATGCAAAACTCAGCAATATTAATTATTGGGGCTTCCATTAGGGCTTGCAATAAATATATGATATCTGATTTTTTCCCCCTAAGATTTATATTTCATTTAAAAATGTAATAACCATACATTTACATTTAAAAACTTGTAATTATATAAAAGGAGGGCCAGAAGGAGGACTAAGAACTGAGGGGAGCAGGGTACGGTCAGGTGGGTTGAGTTAAATTCACAAGTTTACTGAAACATCAACTGCACAATGCCTGTTAGCCACGCTTTTCTTGTGAGCATGAGCAGGTGAGGAATAACAATTATATTTATAACAACAAAATATTACCACTGGTACTTAATATAAGAGCTTGTTTAACTTTTATTTTGGTCCTAAATATAAGATCCCAATCCACTTTGTCTCTCATATTTATACATTTTTTTCCAAGATAATCCTTCTAACAATGGTTATTATAGTCAATACACTTAATTAGTAAAGATATTTTAGGAAAGACAACACATATTTATTACAAATAATTAACTTAACTCATTTCCTTAATCTCTTCAAATTAGTCAACTAGCTCCTATAATTAGGATCGGAAGTAGTAAGATAGAACAGTCAAGAGAATAATAGAATGTGAAAACGAAAAAGAAGTAAAAATCAGTGCTCTTGCATTTGAATTGATATTTAGAACTTGTTTGAAGTTATTTGGAATTTTGTGTGCTCTTCAAGACAAAACAAGAATTTTGTTTTTTCATTAATGATAGTTGTGCTAATACGGGAAACTATTATTTCACCATTTTAGATGTATTTTTCAAAATAATGATTCAAACAAATTTTTAAAAATTTTTTAGAACTTATTCTAAAATTATTTTACAGCCCTAAGCCTTTGCTAATTTTATAAAACAAGCCAGCACACGGATCTTTTTTGCCTGTAACGTCTTTTCATTGAAAGTTCTAGCTCGCCATGCTACAGCTTAAACTTTGACATTAAATAATATCTATGGACACAACTACATATAAAAAGTTGCAACACTAGAACCCCAATATATACAGAAGTGATGAAGCATAATTTATAAAAAAAAAAAAAAAAAAACTGGCGACGGAGCATCGAAAAAATTGCTGCAGAATGGTACACAGCATACACACTCAAAGAATTCAAAAATTTCCCATTGATGAGCCCGGCTCCTGCATCACACTGCGATTTCAATCAAAACAAACTTTGAGCTCAAAATCTTTGGTTAATCTATTAGTCACCACCACCACCAAACATTCCCATCATCATGTCTTTCAGAAACTTCAAATATACAAGTAGGAAAATTCTTGCTAGGATAACATAACTATTCATGAAATCTGACAACATTAATGGAGAGCAAATGATCAGAGAAACGCTATTTTTTGGTGTGAATTCGCTACAAATCTTGGACGAGCAATGCAACTATTCATTAAGTCTTGAGAAAAAAACAAGATAAATTATTCATAAAACGTGAAAAATTCCATTCAATCTACAAGAAATTATATCGACTTAAAACAAATTAAAATAAAAACTAGCATTAAAAGAGAACACATCTGATGTGCAGGCAAAATCCCAGATCAAAATCACATTGTCGATGACTCTCCAAGAAGGAGTAGGATAATTTTATAGAAGATTTAATTTCGTTGATGAAAGTTCATGAAACTGACCATAATTGATGAATGATGTGTCAAACATTATTGGGGACTTCTATAGTTCTATCAGAATGTGTACGGTAGACTTTTTCCGGCGGAAATCTGCTTCATGGAATAACATTGGAAGTGTTATTCCTGCCTTGGACAACTTTCCTCCAGCAAGTTGTAGTACTACTGTGTGAATTGACTTGTGTCAATGTACAAGTGAAACAAATGAAAGAATACGCAAGCGAAACTATTCGTTTCTACCGCGCAATGCTAACAAACTTTCTAACGATTGCATCCGCGAGGAAATGTTTCCCATAGCACTCGAACTTCCAGCAGTTTTAGGAATAATGAGAATCAAAATCTAAGCCTCATTCGGTATACCCTTGGGATGGGAGTACTACAGGTTATCTTTTAGCCACTTCAGAGCTCCATTTGCGACAGACCTGAAAATCCAAAAGTACTTTCTGGTCAACTCGAAAGTATTTCCAATGAGGCGTGGAACATTAGCAATTCCATTTAAGAAAAAGTAAAATTTGAATCCTTCTGGAAATTTGTGCCAAACTAGCATATTATGTGGGCTAAATAGTCTTCTTTCTGTGACTTTCCTAAAAAGAGGAAACCAATAATTCAGCATACTAGTAATGAAGTTGGACGTGAAGTTTCCAATTTATAGACAAGCAAACCATACCAAAAAAAAAAAAGATGACAAAACTATTTACCCAGCAAAATTCTTCAATTTATTCCATACGTCATCTTGGTCTTCTGACTGTTCAGTTTTTTCTTCAACTACTGTTGGACTTTCAGCACTTTGAGCCACAGAATCTTCAGCCCTTCCCTCTGCAGAAGGTAAATATCTTGGCTCACAATTCAAATATATGCAACATACTCATTGGTTTCCAAGGCTTCCCTATCGTAACTAGTGATTGCAGTGAAAGGACCAATTCAAATGATATCCATTTTTTTATACATACACATTCAGAAAGATATCAAATGACAACAATCTCGTTCCTGTTGGACAAAAATACATTATAGAAGTACCAAATAATAAACCACCTACTGGAAGAGTGAATGCTAGGACGGGGTTTTGAACGGCTGCTTGTTTTGCTGCCTCGTGAAGCAAGTTCTTCAAGCAACTCACGCTCCTTTAAACTGAAGATGCAGAGGTAATTCTGGATAACTTTCCAATATGGATTCACACGATAGGAAATAGGAAAATACATACAAGCAAGCATGCCCATAAATACACATTTAGACAGAGAGAAATGACATGTTTAATATTATCTATTACCTGACACGTTTTGGTATCATAACTTTAACTGTAAATAAGTGGTCACCACGTATTGATGGTTTGTTTAATTTTGGTGCACCTTTCCTCTCAAGGACAAGGACATCTCCAGGTTGGGTACCGGGGGGAATTTGTAGCTCAGAAATGCCTTCAACTGTATTTACCTGTAGAGTGGCTAAATATTCAATTAATTGATGGATGGCAGGAGGTAGTCCTTCAGCATACCCAAAGAAAACAGAAAATGCAAAGGAATCAAGTAGAAAGTAAATCTCCAATCCTACATTAAGTCATGCACAAAGACCTAGCAAGATCTCAGAAAACTGTGTCCACAAAAGGCTCAAGCCCCAGTCCCCCCCCCCCCAAAAAAAAAAAAGACATGTATTTGGTTTATCAATCAAAGGTCAGATTATATATAATTGCACAAATTCGGAGATTTTTGGGAACATCTGTTCTGGAGTCATGTGAAACTAGCGATACATGCAAACACATATCAGCAAGAGGATTTTGTTAATCAAACTATAAACCCTTGTTTAAATTAATACAATTAAGGTCAGATGATATGTAATTGCATAAATTCAGAGATTTTTGGGAACATCTGTTCTGAAGTCATGCAACTAGTGATACACACAAAAACATATCAGCAAGAGGATTTTGTTAATCAAACTATGAACCCTTGTTTAAATTAATACGATTAAGGACCACCATACAATGGAAGAGTTAAATCAACTGAATCGTATGGCTCTGCCATGTCTTAGTTTCTGATAGAGCTACGGAATTTGCTAAAACCTATAGGAGGAAAGGAAGAAAAAGTTAGAAGGACGCAATACTGCTGGTTTGGAAGATTATTCCATGGTTCCTGGCCGCAAGGGATAAGAAGTGCTATGTGAGTAGGCTTTAGGTGCTACTAGGTATAGGGGTAGCGTCTGTCATAACTTTTAGGGTCTTTGAATCTCCCCTTTAATACAGAGAGAGGGAAGTTCGGTGATTTTAAAATTGCAAGTGGTGAGGAGAGTTCTAGCCTCTCGAATGCTAGGTTGGAGGTGGAGGAAGATCAACTTTCTTCATCATTTTCCGTTTCTGTTTTAGTGTGTCTCCTCTTGCATCCTCTGTGTGACTTCTGTGAGTTTTCCTCTATAGTAACTCCCTTTCATTCCATTGGGGGAGGGGGGGAGATTATTTTGATATTTAATTAAATTCAGTGTTCAATATCTACTATTCTGCCGGGGCTCTATCAGTTTCCATCCCAAGGAGAGCAGGGCGGGGCAGTCACTCATTGGCCATTACATCCAAAGAGAGATATATTACTACAATTCCAGAAGTGAAGACATGATATCTAGCATTAGAAGAAAAACAAATGCATAAAAAAGCATGCATACAGACGGAAAACCATTTACCTTGACAACAACCCCTAGTATGGCATCCAGATAATTGATTGTTATCGTTGAAGAGAGATTAATGCCATCTCTTTGAATTCCTGGAATCTCTTCTACTTCAAGATACACAAATAGATCTCCAGGGGGACCCCTGCAATGACAAGAAAGCCAGCAGCCGCTTCTATAACATTTTCTTAGGCAATAATATCATCTGAATTTACAAACACAAATTACTCAGGTAATTTACTGAGTAAAAACTTTGACGAAGAGAAAAACATTGTATTTCATTCCCATTCTACAGTTATAACTAAACTTGCAAACCGTAACACTTCAAAAATTAGATCTATAATCTATCTAACTGGTTGCGCAAAGATTGTAATAATGAGGCTCAAAGATCATATGTAAATAAAGAAATATACCCTCGAGGTCCAGCATCACCCTCCCCAGCAACTCTCAGAATGCTGCCTGGGCTAACCCCTGGAGGAACTTTCACTTTAATATTTTTCTTAACCCGAATACGTCCTTCACTATTACATTTACGACAAAATTCAGATATGACTTCACCATCCCCTCCACAGTTTGGACATACTGAAACCTAATAGAGAGATAAAAAAACAATATTAATTTCAAGCAGAGAAAGGTGCAAGGCTTCAACCACAAACAATGTGGACTAGAATATGAATCTCATGTAATAAATTGAGTAGATGAGGATGAAGCTATATATGCAGTTGAAAGATGCATTGAGAAAATAGGGAGAGAAATTCAGGAAGAAACCAAGCAAAATATAATATCGAAAGACTCAAGAGACTTCCATTGACCAGACAGAGACACTTGTACAGCATATGATATTGTTTCCCAGGATCCAACAAAGGGCCAACCCATTACACCCCACATAATTATATGTTAGATCTTGACAGTAGAAGTAGAGCTCCAGTCTGGGAACCACATATGAAGAATTATTACTTCTTTTTTCCTCATTTTAGCACAGGAAAGAAAATTAAGAATTTTGCATCCAGACCCATCTAGAAAACTCAAATTACCTGTGAGAACAAGCCAAAAGGTGTTTGTTCAGTCCTCATCACCTGACCCCTCCCACCACAAGTCGAACATATTCTCATCTTGGAGCCAATCTTTGCTCCAGTACCATTACAAGCTTCACATTTTTCCAAATGTGAAAGCTCAAATTCCTTTTCAGCTCCAAAAATTGCCTCAGAAAATTCCAACAAAATATCGTAACTGTTGACATTAAATAGGAAGTCAATTCAAAATTCCAGACTCTCTTAGTAGTAGCATTAAGCAAGTCACACAAGGGAAAAAAAAAAAGAAATTGGCATATAAGCTTCTTATAGATTAGGGGACCTTAAAAAACAATTAACATTTACCAATTCCATTTTTAGCATATGAAAATGATTACTTAAAGACCATGAGTTTCACATTATAATTTTCTCAGATTCCACCCCCCCCAAAAAAAAAAAAAACTCCTCCCCAACCCACACAATGACACATTAAGGATAGGGGAGGCATTGATATATATTAAGCATGACAATCAGCTTTATTTTTCACATGCAATCAGAATACCCTATATGCAATGTGTAAAGAAAGACATAAATTAGCAATATATAAATTGATAGTGAGGCCAAAAGGCCCAGAAAGAGGCAACCATAAAGAGCTTCAGATTGAAGAAATGAGCAATAAATAAAAAGTGTCTCATGAGATGTTTCAAGCAACTACTGACAATTTTTTAGGAAAAATTACCCGAAGGTCTCAAGAAGGAAAGTTAAATGCCAAAAAGTCTCTTGAATTTGATTTAATATTCACAGGTTTGACTTGTAAATGACGCAACTCAACTTGTACATATGAAAGTTTGACTTGAAAACACTAATCCGTAAATTTGACTTGTAACTGATGCAACTCAATTTGTAAATATGAAAGTTTGATTTGTGAATATTAAATCCCTTGAAACCTATTAGTATTGAATAAAATTCGTGGAACACATTTGCATTTAGTTTTCTTACCTATGACCTATGGGTAGGTTTTCCCATTTTTTCAACTTGACAGAACTTTGATATAATCATCCAACTCACTGCATGACTTACCGAATGTCTTGACCCTTAGTAACAGTACTGCGGCGGCGTGTTCCAAAGCCAGTTGGATCCATGCCAGCAAAGCCACCCATACTTGGCCCGAAAAATGTCTCAAACAAATCAAATGGATTAGTCTGCAAGAACAGAGTCAATTCAGTATAAATTTCACAATAAAAGAGAATCTAGGGGGAAAGGGTCATTTGGGCGTGTATTTCAATATTGGCCCACAAAAGAAGACAACATGCACACAAGAATGTCAATGGGAAATTCTTCAGAAAAGAAAAAAGTTCTATCATCGTTGTTACCACCAGCTAATCATTAAATATTTAAATAGTAAAAACCCAAAAAATGGAAAAAAGAAAAAGGAAAGTTATGTGAATACCGTATAAGCATTTGCTCCTCCTACCGTACTCTTAACTCCAGCCTCTCCATATTGATCATACAATGCCCTCTTCTTATCATCTGATAGCACCTGACAGTGTTGTACTTCAGAATTGAAAGGACAATAAAACCCAAACATGTTTGGACGTTTGGCGGGTTGGCTAAAATCCAAAGGCATAATCAAGGCACACATTCATGGCTTTGTTCCGGTACAATGCAGCCATTTTTCAAAACGGTCAACACCTACTCTACAACTACAGAACTTGAAAAATCCAACAAGAAATGTGTGAAATCAGACTCCAGCCACCAAGGCTTTGATGGCAATGCCTTTTTGTTCCAGGCTTTATAACATGTACTTCAAAATGATTGACATGCCAAACAGAGTAGCAAAAGACAAGGACAAATTTATGAATATAATTTATAGGCAATTTCAAATCATGGAGATTAATGTAAACTGTGTAATATTAATGTTCGATAAGAACAAGGGGTTTTCTTTTTACCCCTTTCTATTGGCTGAAGATTAGAAAAAGAAAAATTTTGCATGCCTTTTTTTTTTGGGGGGGGGGGATTTCAGACGCAAAGTTACCTCTTTTCACTTAACTGGCAGAATCATTTACGTCTAAGTAAATCAGATTTGAGAACCAAAAGAGTGTTACATGTATCTAATTCAATTTCATGTACTATAAATCACTGAATCATCCTGAGCATCAGCTTCCTAACCCTTGAACCCAGGGGCATTTTAAGTGCAGTTTCTGAACAGCACATTAGAATAATTAACACCTCCTTCTGCCACGTGATGATTAATTACATCACAAGACCCGCCAAAGATAAAACACCATCACCGCAACTACTTTTCTTATCAAATACTCAATTGCTTCAAAAAGTGTTGTTTAATGCATACTATCGTAGCAAAGAACTACACAGGTACTCCAGTGCATTACAAGGAGTTTAAATAAGCATCACTTTCGATGGTTTGTGAACCGCATGATGATACTGGTGCTTAAAAATTGAAAGAGGCAATAAATAACTCGAACAATCAAGACGGTACTGTCCATGCATACCTCATATGCAGCACTGATTTCCTTGAACTTGTCAATAGCTCCAGGTTCCTTGTTCACGTCAGGATGGTACTAAGAAGAGCACAAGAATTTCAAAATAAGTCCAAGAAGAATTAAGTTTAGGCTCGCAACTCTAGTTCTAACAACTAACGACGAAATTAAACAATTTCCATTTGCATATGCAAATCATTACGAAGATCAAGACAAATAAATAATCCGAATTTCCTCACTAAAAATTGTATACCTGACGAGCTAACTTTCGATAAGCCACCTTAATCTCCTTGTTGGTCGCGGATTTGGAGACTCCAAGAGTAGCATAATAGTCGCCAGAAGCAGCAATCGCCGTTCGAAAGCTCCTCGAGGAGGACCTACTATTTAATGTCGAGGAAGAAAAATGGGAAGGTGAATGGATAGAGATGAAGTTCTTATGGGTCCGAAGGTGGACACCACCACATAAAAAGGAGGAGGAGGAGGAGGAGGAAGACGACGACGACGAAGGAGCGGAGGGGGGATGCAAATAAGGTCGAAAAGAGAAAGAAACAATGGCCATTGAATTTGAAAGAAGCAAAAATGTTGTGATGATTCTGTATTCTAGAACAACAGGCAGAAGAGGAAGAAGCACTTGAATTTGTTCATCCTTTTACCGCATAGGGACAGGGAAAGGATGTGAACTGAGGAAAAAAAAAAAAAAAAAGGGCTTTGTAGCAGCAGTTTCTTGACTGAGTTTGGGGTAGAAACCAGAAAGTGGAGGTGAAGTGGGACCCCGAAGAAAAGGTGTGGAGCTGAGGAAGACGATGCTAGGCTACGGAACTGAACACGCAGTACAATTTCGCAGCAAGAAGAGGAGGGGAGATAAATCTGCTAAAAGTTAAAATTAGACTGAAAAAAAAAAAAAATTCAATCCTCAGCGGAGAATTGGAGAGACGATGACATATTAAGAAGAGCACTGTATTTCTCATCTGCTGGTGTATGCCCCTATTTATGAATAGGCACGCCTTACAATTTATAATTGAATTTACAGACATAATAATGGAAAATAATTGAAGGATTACAGAGATAATAAGAGAGATATGAATATTCACACAGATATTATTAGATAAGTAACAAATCCAAATTAGTCATTAATCAATAAAGGAAAAAATCATCGGTAATTATGTTATAAGCTCACCTTATTTCATTTTAAATGTCTTTTTTTAAAAAAATATTTTAATTATATTTTTATTCACATTAATTATAAAAGTCTAAAACACCATGAATTATCAAAATAATTTAAAAACATTCAGTAACTCAGAATAAAATATAAGAGGGAACACCCTAGGGTTTACGTGACTTGTTGCAGAGTGATTAACTGGGCACTGGCTGCCAAAACATAAAAATAGAAATAATAACAACAAATATGCTATTTTTGTGGAGAAAATCCAATGAAAAAAATCACTATTTCGAAATTTTAAATCTCATATGATTTTATCCTTTACAAGATTCCATATACAGAAAATACTAGTACTTGAATTTAAATCCTCCTTGCCAACAAAATTTCTAAAGTGGGATTATTTTTTTTTACTGATTTTTCCCAAATTTTTTTAAAACCTATGTTCTAGAATTTAAATTGAAAACCCTCCCAGTCCCAATGATGATGAAAGGCTGAAATGAAAAGGTGGATGTAGGAGAATCCTCTCAAAAGAAAATATGGTTTTTATGGGCATGCGCGTTTAGCGTTATTCATTATTCACGATATGGAGGTCAAAGCCGCGACTTTCCGAGCGTTAAGAACCGGGGACATCTTGAGACTGACTGGTGTTAATAAGTAAAGAAACCAAACACGATGAAAGGCTTATTTCATTTCATTCTTTCAAAAGCCAATGTGGCAACACATTACAAGACAATGAAACTAGTCATTTGAGCTTCTCGTTTGGTATAGCTTCAAAAAGGTGGAACGGAGTCTTTTAACATGTGAACCAATAGCTCTCTGTATGAAAAGATGGCTCAGGGCGAAGTAGGAAGATCATGGAAGAGCACCCCAAGAGTCATCTATTGAACTCAAAAAACAGCCCATTATAGATTCAGGTAGCAGCAAAACTAAAACGGCCAATTATATTAATTTGAACTGCCCAGAAATGGAAGTCTCTAAGCAGTTTAAAGAAGCGAGCTTCAAGAAAACCTGTATAGCTAGACGTTAGAAATTCAATCCAATACCATATTACTAATTGTCGTGGGAGAATACAATACATATAAAGGAGACATTGTAAGGGAGGAAAAAAGGAACAAAGCAGAAATCACTAGACGTAATTGAATTAATAGACAAATCTTACTTATAATGACAGATTCTACCCCCAGAATGAGAGGATAGAATCACCCCCTGAACTAGGAACAGCATTAAATCAACCATGCCTTGACCTACAGGAGCTAACCACACTATGGGAACACTAGATATAATTAACACTATGCAGCTATTTTTGCAGCCCTATTATAATAATAGCCTACTTATTGATTTGGTTAGAAGACATCAGGATGGAAACGCCCTGGAAAGGAGTTGCACTGCTGAGCCTGCTTCAGATGCATTGCCAAAGCATAGTTATTCACCTGTCGACAAAACCATAGGCACCACATTCATCAGCATACAAGAAATGTAAATTTGTTTCTTATAATCAACACACGCCAATTGATTTCTTTGAGATTAACTATGAATCAAATTTTGTTAAGTTAATACTTTATGGTACAACAGATACACTACTGTGTATCAAGAAAAAAAAAAAACAATAGATACACCACTAATCAGATGTATAATACCAGAAAGGAAGAGGGGAGAAGTCTTGTCAATGGAAACTTTGCACATGGTCATTGGTAAGGTCTGTAATTGATCTGTTCCCAAATACTATCATTTTTATCTCGGACGCTAAGTTTGTGTCGATATGCATTGCAGAACAGAACATCACAAATATTTGTAACAAGCCACGCCACCCAAAAATTAACAAAATCTTATTTCTTAGAAATTTAAGCATTATAGAAGCCAATTATTATTCATTTCATTTAATAAATATAGTAGTAAATTCCATTTGGCATCATAAACACTGGCATGGTCTGAGATGATAGTGCATTCCAATCGGCAATGCAAACAATGGAATAGCCCCAAATCCCACATCGAAGGGATACAGAACAGCTAGCCTCTTTCCTAAGACACATTTTCAGCTACCAAATTCCCAGCAACATTGCGCTAAGAGTTTATTGTAAATCTTCCATATAATCTGTGTTCACTTCATGCCCTTCCTTTCTATTCCATCTTCAAGGGAAATGAGGTTTTACAATGTTTGCAGATGATAGCTGAATCTATAAACATGTTTTTAACCGAAGAGTATTAGAATTATTTCATGTTTCAAGTTTCCCTGATGAACAGTTCAACCGGGAGAATTAAAACGGAAATAAAGCTCATTCTGACCTCGAGATTTCTCAACTGTTCCTGGTACTGAGACGTCAACTGCTTCAAATGCTGCAACTCTTGACTCTTATTTTCATACTCAATCTGACGTTCGTGCTGGATTTTAAAAGCACTCTTTAAAATAGTATTCTCCCTACTCAGCCCTTCAACTTGCTCTTTCAACATCATATTTTCCTGACAACAAAAGGGCACTTGTCATACAATCCTCAAAGAGAAAAGAGAAATAGAAAATCAAGACTAGGTGGTAATTAATCCTAGAGCATTATTTAATATGTAAATAGATGTGTTGGATAGCAATATAACTATGGAACGGACAATGAGACTTGAGATCTAAGGCCAACCCCCCAAGGGGGTTATGAGACCAGCTTAATCCTGACAATGGCAGATAATCAAAACCAATCATGGCAAATCAAGATGAAAGATGCATGCGTAAGAGCAAGACCACACTCTTGCCAATAATAAAAAATCCTTCAACACCCATTATCACTCCACTGCTTATTTCAATAACCTGTATCCCGTAGCACACACAATTATGCTGTCCTCTAAGTTAGCATGCCTTTTGACTCAAGTAACTGGCTGATAGCATTCTCAGTTATGACCTCAACAAGCTATTTTTAACTTGAATGGATTCCCAAGAACTCACTCTCATGGCGAGTACAGCCATCAGCCATAGAGGTGCGTTAATTAATACTAGCATCAACATATACCTTTTGAATATCGTGTGTTGCCTCAGCACTTGCATGCCCACTGATTGATCTCTCTAAAACCTCCAATATTCTAGAAGCACGGATTCTAGCATCATCAACACTAACAGCACTCATCATTTCCCTCACAAACAAGTCAACCCATTCTGCTCCATCTGCAGGCAGGTCATTTGAAGCTGACTGGTTCTCAGAAGCAGAAGCATGCCCATCATCTCTCAAAGTACCTGGAAATTTTCCGAAAGACTTCAGTTTCTCACTTACGAAAGCTCCAAAAACACACAAATAAACTACTCATTGTTCAGTGTTTTCACCTGCATAATTCACCATACTGATTTCAGAACATTAAATATATGTTCCCCAAAAAAAGCCACATGAAGCCACATCACCAGTTCATGCTACGCAAAAATATAAATGTACCGCTGATACAAGTCATGGCTGCATGCACAGATGCTAATATCATCCATACATTCAACCGCCAAAAAGTCTACAAGCGGAGGCCAGAATATTGGCAAGTCTCAAGAAAAAGATCGTTCAGACTAATTGAGCACTGTCTACTCATGATTCGAGCAGCTAAGAAAGTTTAACATGCTTAAATACTAAATAGCAGACACTGCTCTTGAAAATTAAAATCCAACCTAAGTAAATGCCAAATGCTCCTTAAGCATGCTAATGAAAAAATCCATCGCAGCTACGGGAATACCTGTAACCACAATAGCATCGGATTGCTCAGCAGCACCAGAATTTCCGTCAGCGGATCCCAAGCAACGCTCGTGCAAGCTTTTGATAGCAACATCTAGATCATTTCCACATTCTTGGAGAGCTATCTCAAGAAGCTGAAAGGTTATATACCAACTGATAAGAAATTTGAGTAAAGAAAGTTGTGACAGATATAGAATATTCAATACATTTGCTGATATGAAACAATACAAACATCTAGTGAATCAACTGTAAATAGACAAAATAAGGGGAAAAGAACCCCATCTCTCAATCAACGATAAGCAAAGATGCAAATTCACAACAGTGTAGCACGATTGGTATTATTACTATCATTATCGTCATCGTCATTGTTGTTGTTATTGGCCTAAGAAGGGCGAAGATGTATAGAAAAACCCGACAGTTAATTAAAATCGAAGAATTAAGTAATTTAAAATGAAAAATTAATATATCTGCTTCACTAATGTTTTCTGCTGATTCCCCAGAAACAAACAAATTGCGAGAAATTAAACCAATCAGTCAAACCCAGAAGCCAAGGAAAAACACCTGAACTTCCATTTGAGGGAATACCGCCTGAAGCTGATCGACGAGGCCCGCAGCGGAGAAACGAATGGGAGAAGATGAGCAACGAAGCCTCTTAGATACCGGAGGAGACGGAGGAATATCTTCAAAGAAAGATCTCTTGCTCCCACACACTGCGGCAGACATCGTTCCAATACCAAATTGTTCTATCTATCTTCTTCCAGTTCCTCCACCGACCCTGATCCCCAAATTACAATTGAAAATCCGATAATCCAAAAGAGGGAACAAGGGTCAGGGGACCATAAGAAGATCGAACTTCTGAGGGTTTTGTTGGGGTTCCTCTCTGATTTTCAGTATTGCCTTGGGTCTATTCGCGGGATTTGCAGGGAAAGGCACCAACTTTGGGTGATAATGGGATTGCGTGATATATAGGGACCGTAGAGGCTTTTGAGGATCGGTGCAAGGAAGGTAAAAGAAACGGCGCGGAGAGGGAAGGGATATTTGCACGTGCTTTTCCGGCGCGTTGGTCCAAAGTCAAAAGGCCCATCCCTGCAAAAACTGTTGCCGGAGAAAAAAAAAATGACGGAAAGATAATACCGGACTTTTTATGACAAAATAAAACAAAATTTCTGGAGTCTGGACCCCAGAGAGCACTACAAGCGCCCGCTTTCCAATTTTTTTTATTTTGCCAAATCCAATTTCGTTCTTTTTTTTTTTTGGGAAAGATTAGTGGTTTCTAAAGATTTAGTGTAACTTAAATTTTTTTTTATACGCAATCATCTTTTCTTATGTGTTACTCCTCCGGTCCTTAATATAGGACCCAATTCTTAAGTTGGTTTTGGTCATAAATATAAGATCCATTTCTCATATTTATCAATTTTCTCTAAATTACCCCTATGAATACTCCCTCAACCATAATCAAGTAAAAGAGGGAGATGGGGTATTAAGAAAGATGATTATGGTGTTTTAGGAAAAATGTGTCACTTTTCTTATAATTAACTAATTTACCTAACTTCCTTAATCTAATCAAATTAGTTAAATGGGTCTTATATTAAGGACCGGAAGAGTATTTTTTTTATGTAACCAAACTTCTTACGTGTCCAATCAATTTTTTTATATGCAAATTAGTTCGTTATATCAAGTAATGTATTGTGCAAAACATCTTCTTTTGTGCTACTTTTTTTTTTCCGCAAAGCATAGGCACTATTGCCTACTAAATAAAGACACTTCTCTCAATATTCGAATTTTGATATGTCATGCTGTAAGGGACTAATATTTTTTGTTAGACCCAATAGTATTGGTTTTTCCTTTGTATAATTTAATTTTTCTTGTATGTAACATATCTTTCTTTGTGCAATCTATCGTCTTAATGATCTTTTGCTAGCTTTTTTTGTGTGTTTTTTTCCTAATTTTCTTGCCAACCCTATTTTGCAAGTTTAAATTGATAATTAATTGAAAAATTTGATGAAAGTCATTTATTAGATAATTAATAGTATAAATGCACCTAAAATTTGTTTAAAGATTTAGATGCAGTTTATTTTCCGCAGATGCAACTTATTCAGTTATGTTAAATTCCCTTTTACTTTGAACATGGTTGAATATGGGTTTATGTTAAAATCCCTTTCACTTTGCACATAGTTGAATATAGGTTACGCAAAACTAAAAAAGAATTACCCCTCCTTAAAAATTTAGATCTCTAGGCATCTTCGAATAATTAATTTTCTAATCAGAGATTTTTTATCTTAATTAATTTGATAATATTTAAAATTTCATCTATTTTTGTTATGTACTTTTGTTTTATTAACTCATGTGTTTGTGTTAAAAAGGTAATTTCCATGTTAAAATTATATCTGATGAAATAATAAAACAAGAACATATTAAATTGCAATATAATAATTTGAATTTGAATTCTTGTATCAATGTTTAGTCAAGGTCAAGGATGCTCATGCTCAGAGCTTTTATAGGTGAACATATTTAGATTATCAATAAATGAGCAATCCAATTGATAGGAGATGTACTAGCTTAACCACTCAAAACTACTCCTCCGGTCCTTATTATAAGATCCAATTTGATTTTTTATTTGGTCCTAATTATAAGACCCAATCCATTTTCTCTTTTATATTTATGCATTTTTTTCCAAGATAATCCTTCTAATAATGATAGTTTTAGCCCATATACTTAATTAACAAGGATATTTTAGGAATAACAACACTTATTTATTATAAATAACCAACTTAACTTACTTCCTTAATCTCCTCAAATAAGTCAATTGGGTCTTATAATTAGGACCGGAGGAGTACTAAATATCGAGCTAATAGTTCATGAAATTTTAGAAACTGAAAGAACTAAAAATTATATTTTTATATGATTGATTTGAAGAAGATTATATGAATTTCTTTAATTAAATTCCTCCAATGTGGGCTGTGAAAAATTTAGCTTGAAGTAAGGCTTTTCCTTCGATCATGTGAAATCTAAACAATGTACATTGTTACTTGCATGCCCCATCTTGCCCTGGAGGAGAAGATAACACAGATCCTTTCTTGCTATGTGCCGATATGGATAATATATTCCTTCTTTAGTGTATATTCGTATGTTTGCTTTTCCCACACACCAGGAAATTTGTATGGCCAATAATAAGTCAATAACAACTCACATGGTACCGCCCCTCCCCATACTGGTACTGTTGGAAGACCTCTTTTTCATGAGCCTTCACATAAATATATGGACTTTTTAGTTTACATGTAGTTTAAAAAATGAATCATATGATTCACTATTTATGAATAATGTAATACTACCTCCGATCCTTAATATAAGGTCTTGTTTGACTTTTATATTGATCCTAAATATAAGACCCTAATCCATTTTGTCTCTCATATTTACCAAGATAGTCATTCTAATAATTATAGTTTTAGCCAACATACTTGATTAGTAAGGATATTTTAGGAAAAAACAACACATATTTATTACAAATAACTAACTTAACTTCTTTTCTTAATTTTCTCAAATTAGTCAACTGGCTCTTATAATTAAAACCGGAGGTAGTATAAAATTAAAATTAAGGTTTCATAGTTGAGATATTTATATACTACCTGGTACTTAATATAATAGTCAGTTACAATGTTAGATTTAGTTTTAAATATAAGACATCGATCCACTTTGTTTCCCATTTTTTTCAAAATATCCCTGTTGATTGTAAGGGATTCCAACCAAAAGATAATTTCAATCATTTAATGCATATGATTTAAAATGATAGTTTAAGAAGATCAACTCATCAACACACATTTGTGATAAGTAACCGATTTAACTAATTTTTTTAATAATTCTAAATTAATTATATAGTTCTTATATTAAAAATCACAAGTACGTAGATATGTTAGTTTCTTTTTTTTTTTTACCAGCTAGATATGTTAGTTTCTATATCTTTGAGGGAAAAAAAAAAAGATAAATATTAAGTACATGTTTGTTTGGTTGTCTCTAAAGGGGAGCCGAAACACCATTTTGAAGAACAAAACCCATTTTCCCATAAGACGAAACCAGACGAGTTGGCAAGCGACAAAAATACGGGAGGCATCAAAATCACGATGCAAGAGGAGCAGCCTTTCACATGCTTAGTGTCGGATTTGATTAGCTTTAAAAAGGTATTTTTAGGAATTAGGATGCATAAGATAAATATGCGAGATTCGTTTTATCTCATGAAGTGCAACAAAAATTATTGTAAAACAAGGTCAAAAAACAATAATTATTGTAAAAAGTCTCAATTTTGAAGGGCGCGATTCAAGAAGCAATGAATTCCCACCACACCCATAGGCCCTATTTGGTACACTCACCTAAATTTTAATGGATTGGGAATAAGAATGGAACTGAGAATGAGAGCGAGGATGAAGCTTTGAAATTACATTTAATATAGAGCATGGGTTCCTTTTTATAACTAATTTAAAAATATCAACAGACTATAATGCTCTTATAATTAATTCAAAAAAATGTTACTACATCTTACTTTTAATATAAAACTTCATTTGACTTTCATTTTAGGCTTTGATTGGTTCAACGCATGGGAGAGGAGGGAAAGTTAATTAAAGGAAAGGGAAGGGAGGTCATGGGTTTTGTTTGGTTGGAGGGGAGGGGAATGGAGGGGAGAGAAGGGAAGTTAATTATAAATTGACAAATATGCCATTATCTATATATTTAAACTACTTTATTCATTTATTACAATATTTATATCAAAATTATTATTTCTTAATTTATCAATTTCAAAAAAACCAATTACTTCACTTATATGTGATAAAAAATTATGATAAAACTAAAAAAATTAGAAAATATGATAAAAAATTTAACATTTCATTTCGTTAATTTTATAATTATAATACACACACATGTGTATTAATATATATGATATGTATACATTATATAATTATAATACACACATGCTACGCTATGTATATATTAATATATATGCACGTGTGCAGCCTATCTGAGAACTAAGATTAATATATATGTATGTTTGCACTCCGTTTGAGATTATAATACACACACCATGATATATAATTATAATGCATACATGTTGTGATATGTACAAATTAATATATATCATATGTGTATATTATATAATTATAATACACCACCATCTATTAATGTATACTTGTCATATTATATTACGAAAAAAAAATTACTGCCATGATAGAAATATTATATTATCATTATCAAATATCATTAGTTCATTATAAAATTGTCGCCTAACATCAAAATTATTACAATACAACCAAATTTAAAAGCAACAAGTCTCAAACATTAAATATAATACATAAAAGTCTAACTTTAAAGTTATTATTACATGGCATACTTAAAAACATCAAGTTTCAAGCCTCAAATAAACATGAAACAGCAAGTTCATCAAAGCACAAACTTCAAACTGATTAGGGTACATTACCACCACGTCTCATTAGTTTATTTTGATGATCTACCAACATCTTATTTGCTATGGTATCTCTAATCAACTATCCTCGTGCAGTATCCTCATTGCCACCACGTCAATCATGATTATTATAATCAGATGCGGATTTTTTTGGGCAAGATTGTCAAGAAAGCAACCAACTTAATCAATGCAAAACAAGAGAGACAGCAAAACAGATTTTAAACGAAAACACCAACCTTTTTTTCTGAGTGAGTTTATATTGAACGAGACAAGCGGGAGAAAAATCGGAGGAGATTTTTTTTTTCTTCCTTTTTTCTGATTTTTAAATATTTTTATGGGTATATGATCGACAAGAACACAACAAACTTAATGCGAAAGAAGAATAACAGTTTTTTTTTTTGGAGATGTAGCTTATATCTGGAAATCACCCAAACAAACTCGATCAGAAAATTGAGAACAAGTAAACAAATATAGGAAACAGGAAACGATTCAGAAA